CTTGTGATACCCAATATCTAGTCCATGCAATTTTTGCATCTCTGCCATGACAAAAGCTGGTGTAACTTCAAACATTGGGTCTCGAAGATTGTCGATAATGTAACCACTAATCAACTTTGAAGTAGCATGTCTTTGATCAGCTTTCATAGTGTTAACAGAGCAGTCATGCTTTTTCTCAATCTTTACTATCTTGAACAGTGTTGAATCTTTAATTCTGAAAGCACGCACACACCAACAACACCTATCATCATTGCATTTCAACGAATATCTTGTTGAGCTTGATCTAACAACCTTGAATTCAAAATGTCCTTTAATTGCTATATTCGAAAAATAGTTAATTATACTCTTCTTCTTGTCAAATACTGACCCGACTTTTATTTCATCCAATGAAGCATTTTCTCTTAATATCGTAGTTGGGGATTCTTTTTGTTTCAAATTTGATCTTCGTCTAGTTAGTTGAGTAGAGGTTTTTTTAGCAACTTTTTCGATTACCGGTGCACTCTCTAAGACTTGAATACCCAAAGCTTGTTCGTTGTCAATCTCTATAATTGTTTGTCCTTCTACTTGAATAGAATCAAATGTTTGAATCACCTCTTCAGTTATTGCTTGAGCTTTAACCATATCTATTTCCATTATCTGTTGGCATTTGTCTTGATTGTCATGTTTAGTTTCTCTGTTGACATGTGTTTGAAGCACCTCTTCAGTTATTGCTTGAGCTTCAACCATATCTATTTCCATTATCTGTTGGCATTTGTTTTGATTGTCATGTTGAGTTTCTGTGTTGACATGTTCGTTGCTTGTTGATCCAAAACCTCTTTCCGAAATATCAACAATGAAACGACAGCCCTTGAAGAGTGAATGAGGTTTTAGTAAGTCTATACATGTGTGAAGATCTAAATCTTTGGATACAAGCATTCCCTTACTTGTTCCAAGGTTGATATCAAACCATATCACTGCTTCAAACTTATGTCTATCCAATTCAATAACTTCAAAGATCTGTTTAATGAAATCTTCAAACCGAATTGCCTCAGGTACCAGAACAAGCTTTGTTTGATGATCAAGATATTTATAGTCTTCAGTCCATCTACTATTAAAAGCAACTATAATGCATATTGTTTCTAACCTGCAAGTCAAGAGAATGGGAAATTTAGGACATATTTTATAATGAAATTCTTGTATAATTAAGAACAGGTACTGTAAGTTCAAGACCAAGTTAAGGACCAAGTGTCCTTAATATTTGAACTTGGAATTCAAAGTTAAGGACTGTCTGTCCTTAACTTTTGAACCTGTAATTGAAACTTAAGGACTGCCTGTCCTTAACTTTTGAACTTGGAATTCAAACTTAAGGACTGCCTGTCCTTAATTTTTGAACCTGCAAGTCAAACTTAAGGACTCATGTCCTAAACTTTTCAACTTGAAACTCAAACTTCAGTAACTAGTGTCCTTAAAAATCAGGACACTATGTCCTTAATATTATGTGCTCAATTTTTATAGAATTAACCTGTAATTTAAACTTAAGGACTTCCTGTCCTTAACTTTTCAACTTGAAACCCAACGTTAAGGACCAAGTGTCCTTAACTTTTTCAATTTGAAACTCAAATTTCAGAACTTATTGCCCTTAACTTTTTCAAAACAATTTGAAAAACTATGACAATATGTCCTTAATATACAGAAGAACAACAACAAAGTTAAGGACATTGTGTCCTTAACTTTTTCAATTCAATTTGCAAAATGAGGACACTAAGTCCTTAATATTATGTGCTCAATTTTTATAGAATTATCTCCTTAACTTTATCAATCCAGAAATTAAAAAAAAATCAAATTTCTAATTATTGTATAAAAATCAATAGAAATCGGAAAGAGTATAACTATGTCGAAATAAAAATCAATAGAAATCGGAAAGAGTATAACTATGTCGAAATAAAAATCAATAGAAAAACATAAAAGTATAACTTACTGTAAATCTATGTTGATTTTTGGATGAGAATGTTGAATTTTTGAAATCGGAAGAGCATCTTCTTCAATTTCGACGATTACAATGAAGTTTTGCGCTGCTGCTGCTGCTGATCGCTCTTAAAAGTGTAGGTATAAGTTATAGCCGAAGGGTATTTTCGTCCAGTCAGGTATAAGTTTATTAAACTAGTGGCTAAAGACTAAAGACATTTAAAACAGTGGCTTTAAAATAAAGACAGGTGCTGTTAGTGGCTATTTGTGCACATCCCCCTATTTAAAGACCGGTCTCTTATATGGCCATTCCTGTCGATCATCCTGTAACTCCGAGCCCAAAATAGGTTAAGCCCAGTATGTGACGGACTCGGTTGTTCTACACCATCTTCCCAAGGTTTTTCGAAATCAAGAGTTTTCTAACCGTTTTAATTTGGGGATTTTTTCATTCCAATACATTATTTGAAACTTTATTATCTTTAATGTCCATATTTAGTTAATTACCCGGCATAAATAAGTTTTGTTTACAAATATATACCATCCACCTTAAAAGGCTCCCAATCGATTATTTGTGTCTTCAATCAAGGGATGTAGTTACACCCTTTTTCTTTATTTTTTTTCTCCTCCTCTCTTTCCTTATGTTTATAAGCTAGAGCAAAAGTAAAAATATCACCAGAGCCTGGTCACCAGAAGTCTTTGGTTGCTACTGTGATGCGGAATTGTGCATCCAATAGCCAGGACCAATTACAACTATAAAGTAGTAATATTCCGTCGTGACGCTAAGATTTTATCAACTAATTGCTACTTATTGCTGCAAATTAAGGTGAGTGGGTAGTTATCCTCCATAAGCTTCAGCAACAAGAATATTTTATCTTGACTATATGAGCAATTTTTTCTAGCCAAGAAATTCGTCGTTGATGTTAATGCCAATGTTCTTAACTCGTGAATTTTCATTTCAGTAGGTTGTAATTTGCGAATGTTCATGAATAAATGGTCTCTGTTTCATGCTGTGTGACAATACATACAGTGGTCACTTTGATAAATTCAGCAACCATGGACTTTCTTCTCCAACTATCATCGTGACTACTGAATCTGGTTTACCATGATCATCACTTCTGCTTTGTCCACCATGAGAATGTCTCCACTGAAGTTCATCAATATCTGTTTAATAAAGGAAAAATCATAAAATTAAAATATCAAAAATATTGCAAACAGATACCTTGACATGTCAATGGGTAGTAATTGAATATTAAAGAATTACTGTAAGTAAGAAATCTCCGGTTGGGTATGAACATGTCAATGGGTAGTAAGGGAATATTCAGTTGTCAGTTTGTTAACATATTATGAATTCGTTTATATATATGCACACAATTTATTCATGAGAATTTTTTCGTACACTATCCAGTTAAATACAACTATAATAATATACAACTTAAATACAAATTTTATACAATATATCTTTTGTATATTTTGTATCTCATTTGTACATAGTAAAAACAAATTTCATACAATTAATTATATATTATACAATTTATCTACAATTTTCACACATTATTTCTACCCAGTTAAATACAACTATAATGGCATACAACTTAAATACAAATTTTATACAAAATTTAGATAATATGTCTTTTGTATATTTTGTATCTGATTTATATATAGTAAAAATAAATTTCATACAACTAATTATATATTATACAACTTATCTATAACTTATCTACAATTTTCATACATTATTTCTACTCAATTATATACAATTACAATATTGTAAAACTTAAATATAATTTTTATACAATGTTGTTCAACTTTCATACAATAGTTAAATAAATAAAAGAAAAATATATAAATAACATAATACAATTTTTCTACAATGTTTCTACAACTTTATTACAATTTCGTAAATATAATATATATCATGTCTTCTTCTTCTTTTTCTTCGAGTTTCAATATAAAATTCAGCCAAAACCAAATCTAATCTTCACCAAAACCCCTCAAAATTGAGATATAAACTCCAAACTATATTCCCAATTGTTTGCAACAATACCCAATCCAAATATATAATGATTTTTAAAAACCCAAATTCGAATTCAAAACTTCAAAGCTTTTTAATGGCTGTCAATGGTGAAATTGCTGCTCTCTTTTTCTTTGCTTTACATTACTGAAATTAGGGATTGAGAGATAGAGAGAGACTTAGAGAGAATTCTCAATTCTTTGCAACAACATCCAATTCAAACAAATAATGTTTTTTGAAAACCCAAATTCGAATGCAAAGCTTCAAAGCTTTTTAATGGTTGTCAATGGTGGAATCATGAGTGGGTGCAAGATACGTGGGGGAGGGGGTGAGATGTGGAGAGAGAAACGTGGGGGAGTGGAAGATATGTTAGAGTAATTTTAGGACACTAATTATTATCATTAATTCCCTTAAAATGTACATAAATAGTAATTGAGTATATAAAATATAATTATAGTAAAACTTGAGTGGGAAGAGTAATATAGTTTCATATAGTGTATAGGAATGTAAAAATTCCTTTAATTTGTCTGACACTTGGTCCAAAAAATTATATTTGAAAACTATTAACTTTAAACTTTTTATTTTACTCTTAATTAAATAATGTGATGGTTCATTAAATTTGTGAAGCTTTATAAGTATACATTTAATTAAAATCAGTACTTAGCCAAAAATCACAAAGACTAAAGTCAGAATTTATTGATATGTGAGGGTTTAAAAGCGCCAACTTTTCCAACGAGTATTTTGATATTGCTTGAAGTACAAATACTAAAGTTCAATATTAGTCCTCAATGACATTCATATTACAATTGAACATACCAAAATATACTCCTTTTTTAAATGCTTTTTGTCATTACACAGGTAAGAAATGAAAACGAAAGAGGAAATTGTGAGACAATAAGAATTGAACCACAATTGTGAATATTATCCCCATAAACTAGATCATAACTTTTGGTGTACCGAAGAGAATTAACATCTTAAGCAATGCGAGTACTGGACATTAAGTGAAAGACCAAAAAACACGACAAATTTAAAAAACAAAGCGAGAAGTGTATTCATAACTTATTTAATATTTTCCGAAGAAAAACAATGAACAAAGTTATATGAGTGAAATGTTTCAAACATGTCTCCAAGGTCTTTCAGCAAGATTTACACATTCTTTGTGTCTAAAACAATAAAGCAGATGATCAATTGTCATTCCTGCAGCTTGCATGAATGAATTTACAATAACTGGACCAACAAGTCGGAATCCTCTCTTCACCAAATCTTTGCTAATGGCTTCTGCTTTTGGAGTTCTTAGTGGAACGTTTCTTGCATTTCTAACTCTGTTAATTATTGGTTTATAATTCATATGGTTCCACATGTAGCAGCTGAAAGATCCAAACTCCTTCCCAATCTGCACACATATATAATAAACAGAGTTTAATTTCTATACATTGATGCTGCAATAAAATTCTTATGCTATGGAGTCGTCTAAAAGATAATTATAAGTAACTGTGTGTAAATAACTTGAAAAATAAGTCATATAATCTGTTACACCCGTTAAATTAATTAATAATATTACAATATTTACACTGGCAGTACATATAAGTTAGACTGAGAAGTGAAGTTACTAACTTGATTTGGTAAAAAGGTGAATATACTTTTACATTTGGTCATTAACTTATCTACTAGACCAGTAAAGTCATAAAATTATTTTTGACACATTAAAGTAATTGAAACTTTACCCACTATAATAGTAAATTAATAAAACTATTTTTGCCATATTAAAATAATTAAACTCTATCCACTATAACAATAAAGTCGCAAATTTTACACACGATAACAGTAAAGTTACCTTGACAGGTAGGGTTGTTGTTAAGGTGAGTAAAGTTTAATATTTTTATAGTTATAACGGGTAAAATTCAATTACTTTAATTAAGTGAGACTTTATTGTTGTATATAGTATACTTTTATGAGACACAAAATAATTTTGTGATGTTTACTGTTATAATAAATAAAATTGAGTGACAATATGGGAAATTAAGGCGCAAAAAATGTTGGTAAATGAAGGTAAGAGACTTGCCTTGACTATGCATTTGGCGTTATCTACTATTGATCTAACTCTATTTTCTGCTAACATCAGTGATGCACTGGAGATTATTTCTTTAATCTCCTTCTCCCCCATTTTTGCCACTTGCTTCGCATTAAATCCAGCAAAAGCTTCTCTGTATTACCATACATTGAAAAGGATTCTTGAACTATATTTTACACGTGACCATTAATTATTATAAAATAAAGAAAAAGAAACATCACCCCTTTTCGAGAGTAATAAGAGCTAATTACGAAGTGGAAATTAAATTAAAGTTGTACCTTATTAGTTCCCTTCTCCTTAAAATTTCAGTCCAGTTGTAGTCCATCAACAGTCCAGCCAATGAAAGTAGCTCGAACAATCGACTGCAGTGTGTGTGTGTGTACCCTTGACCAGTTACTAATATTCTCTTGGAAAATTTAATTGGTGAATATGCTGTAAAATATAAAAATACTTACTGGTCATCATAGGCTGGAACACCCCAGCATTCATCATGGAACTGCACATAAACCTTATCTGTATATATAGCAAACCAAATGAGTCTTTTAAATTTTTTATTGTGAAACTAATTAGGAAGATCAATAATCCAATTAACTCCTACTTTCATGTCCAATTTTGTTTTCAAGTCAACTTTTCACTAAAGAATGTAATATTAAGACCTGTAAGGCACATTATGCTAGTAAAAGAGAATTTAATTAACTAATTATGTAAATTGACCATGTAAAGAACGTTTACATTAACCAGTAAGACCATGTTATTTTATTTACTATATTTTTTAGGTAATCGGATTAGGATTACTACATACCATTATATATTATTGTTGTAGGTCACCTTAACTTATCACATAAAAAATTTGCACAAATCAATGCACAAAAGTTAAACTAAAAAAAAAAAAAAAAATCTCATGGTGGAATCCCGGTTTACAAAAAAGTACTAAAGAAAAACACTAACAAAGATTAGATTATACTTTTTTTTTGGTGGTAATTTATACTAAGAAAGATAAAATTCATGCAAGAGCCGTAGAAATAGCCTCTTGCAGAAATGCAGGATAAGGGTGTATACAACAGACCCTTGTGATCCGGTTTTTTCCTGAACTGCGCGTATAGTGGGAGCTTAGTGCACCAGACTGCGTTAGCTTTATACTAAGAAACATTACATATTATTTGTACTTTATAGTATGAAACTTTAGACTGTTTTAACCTTACATGAAGAAACTAACATTAGATTATACTGGTTCCAAAGAAAGAAAAATGAGAAAAAGAAAAGGAAAAGTAATTAATGGTAGTTGAAATATATATACCACTGGTAGTTGTTATCCAACTGCACCTCATAAGCTCTTTCTCACTAGGACATGGCTTAGCATAATCTAAAGCACGACTAACATTTTTAATGGCTGCTGGAACTTGTCTTTTCTGAAAGGCCGAAGATAATTTCTCATCATCTGAAGTCTGAGATAGAGACAACGAAAGAGAAGAAAAGGAATAAGTTTTATCAAGTCCTATTGGGTAAACTTTCTTCAAGTGTTTGGATAAATAAAACAAGTTATAATTCTTGTTTGTTTGGGTACTACTACTGCTGCTGCTACTGTGTTTCTCTATTGCATATGATCTTCTTACATTTGGCTTTGACATATCTTTTAAGGTGGTCTTTCACTTAAATTTGGTACATGTAAAGATCGACGGCTCAAGTTTATAAAGATTAGACTTTGAAAGTGATGGGAAAAGTTGGTTGAATGTGAATTTCATTACGGACGTATGCCTTTAATTTTATATTTATACTTATATCTCAAGCAACTATTTTAACAAAAGGATAATTGCACTTTTGATCCTTCCATAAATCTTGATTTTGGTTCTTGTACAAATATTTCACTAAGCATAATTAATCTAGTGTTTTTGGTTCCCTTAGGATATTTAAATTATTTTGTAGAATTATATTACCCTCAAATTAGATATGAAGTAATAGTACAAATTTGATATCATACAAGGGTAATTAAATAATTTAACATTGAATAATTCGGTATATTATAAAGATTCACAAGGAAAAGGATCATAAATACATATTTCGATCAAATGAAGGTAAATATGCTTAAATCAAACATCAGAAGAACCACTTTCAAAATTTATCAGTATTTCGGGGACTAATATCACAGATTCCCCCTTAAGAAAAATTAAGAAAATGAGTGGTTTGTTGGATCTTTAAAATATTACTAAAAACTTGACTGAGTTTTTAATTATTTTTTTATGGGGTCAGAACTGAGTTTTTAATTGAAGTGTAGGAAGTAGTGTATTCAGAAACAAGATTCCTAGGTAATGGATACATTGTATTATGCCATAAACTAAAAGATCTTAACCTTAAAGTGTTCTGGAGTGAGAATTTTTGATATGGTTAGGTACATAGTAAACTAATAGAGATTATTTAACACAATCACAGTGAAGACAATTTCAATTTGACAAGAGGATTAATCATTTTTAATTGTCGATAGTTTAGTAGTCACTGTTCAGAAATTGTCAATCTGAGTTAGTACCGAAAAACCAAAACAAAATTTATCTCTACTACCTGTAGTACCAAATACTACATTTCCACTAGCAATTTTCTGTCCATTTTTCAGTTTCCTGTCAAATCAAGAACTTATACTACTAAGTTTGTGAAATTAGGAAAATTTTATTTTGTGTCTCGTACAAATGACACTAGTTGTATGAGACAATTTTTTTGTCTCACAGTTTTGTGAACCCAGATTTCTGTGGACCCAGAAGTGTAAGATTGGGGTCCACAAATTTATGAGACAAAAAGAAGCCTCATACAACTAGTATAGTTGTATGAGACACAAAATAAAACTTCTCGTGAAACTAATAATATTTCCATGTTTTCTTCGTTCATGTTACTTATTTCATCAAAAATTATGTCTCAACTTCCTATGCTTTTCTTAATTTCCCACATGAATTTTTGATAATGAAATATGCTGAAAGACTTTGAAAAAAATACGGAAGGGCTGTATATATAATAGTAGACTGTAGTAATGTATCATTCAATCACAACAAATACTTTGAAGAAAATTTAAAATAATTAATCATTAGTTCAACTATTCACCTCAGTGCAAGTCAGGTTTTAGACCTAATATGAGAAAAACCTATTTTGGCTGCATAGATGATGATATACTATCTTCTCTTTCATTTCTATATTTTGTCTAAAAAATATATTTCATCCATCTTAGTTCTAAAATACTGACCATACTATGATGTATATATTGAAAAGGTGTTCCTGTTGTAAGTAAAAAACATTTTTGTGTAAAAATTAGTGTACTGAAAAGAAAAATATGCTGTCGACTTTGCAACAAATTGAATTAGAGTTTTACTAATTGCAAATGCTTTTTTCGTCATGTTTATGCTTGTACTTTGAATTTGCCAACTATTATATTACTCCCCATTGTTGAAAACCAAAGAAAACTTATGCAGGGAGGAAATATGAAGGAGGAACTCAATAATTTTATTGAAACGAATATGGCTATATATAGCCTTACATAACCGACATCTAAAGTTAAAACTATGTTTCCCAGAGTCTAACAAATTCTAATGACACGAAGAACTCGACAAACAAATAACTCTAAAAACATTAGGAAGCTAAACACTAAAAGACTCCTAACAATTCCTCCCTTAAACTGAATGCTATGAGCACACAGTTTATCTTAGACTTAAAACAAACTCCCAACAATTCTCGCAACTTCAAGGAGACATCCAGCCTGAGGGGTTTAGTCATCACATCAGCTAATTGTTCCTTTGTACCGCAGTAAACCAATTTCACAGTGCCATCTTTTGTGAGTTCTCGCAGGAAGTGAAAACGCACATCTATGTGCTTGCTGCGACCATGCATAACTGGATTTTTTGAAAGTTTAATTGCAGAACTATTATCACAGTGAATAATAGATGTCTTGCCTTGATTAGGATCCAACTTTTCTAATACCCTCTTCAACCAAACAGCTTCGCATGCACATGAAGCAACAACTATAAATTCTGCTTCTGTAGTAGATAAACTCACTACTGGTTGTTTCTTTGAAGACCACGCTACTGCCCCTGAGCTCAATAAAATCACACATCCTGATGTGCTTTTTCTATCTTCCAAATCGCCAGCATACTCGCTATCTGTGTAACCAACAAGTCCACCATCTCCTCCCTTCCTGTAAAATATGCCAAACTCAATTGTCCCCTTTATATACCTTAACACCCTTTTCGCCGCTTGTAAATGAAGTTAAGTGGGATTCTCCATATATCTGCTAATAAGTCTCACCACAAATATCATATCCGGTCGAGTTGCCGTGAGATACATGAGACTACCTACAATTTGCTTATATTCCGCATCTTTCATAAGCTTAAAGCCAGGAACAATTGGATTATGGACAAAATTGCTTTTATCCATCCCAAACTTCTGCAGTACCTCCAATACATATTTCTTTTGAGTGATAAAAATTCCATATGATCTTTTATAAACTTCCAAACCAAGGAAATATCTCATTTTTCCAAGGTCTGTCATGTCAAACTCATGCTTCATGGAACCTTTAAATTCTGCAAACATTAACTCATCATTGCCGGTAAATATAAGATCATCAACTAATAAACTTACAATTAAATGCCATCAGTACTTGTCTTGATGAACAATGTATGCTCGTAGTCACAGTTTTCAAAACCTTCCTTCATGAAATAGGTGTCACGACTCTAAACCCGGACCCGGTCGTGATGGCGCCTCTCGTGAAGACAAGGCCAGCCGACACAACGCCCAACTCTTTTTAACATTTAAAAATACACAATTTAAGTCTTTAACACGATAAAATCTCAATTAAGCTTGCAGAAGTAAAACCAACACAGCCCGACATCGGGGTGTTACCAGTCATGAGCATCTATCACAAAACTACAAGTCTGAAAGAGTCTACACAATCTATTACATAACTAGGACAAGGGAAAGAAATGATGATAAGAGGGAGAGACACTGGGCTGCAAACGCCGAGCAGCTACCTAGTGGACTCCGAAATAGCCTGCTGAGCAATCAACCCCTACTGGCGGGTCCTGAAACTCCTACATCTGCACACAGGGTGCAGGGAGTAAATTGAGTACTCCAACTCAGTGAGTAATAATAATAAATGAAGGCTGAGCGATAAGAAATAACGTAAAGGCACATCAACAGGCTATAAGGAAGCAGTATAAAGCCAGTGAAAGTAATGAAACAGTGAAAAACATGTAATGTCACCTTAGTTCGGTTTAAGCTTCTTTAAAAATGCCTTTTTAACAGTTAAGCAAGTAAATGACAGGCAGCTAGAAAAGATAAACATATATAGAACCGCCCCTCGGGTACAATACCAACAGAATCAGCCCCTCGGGCAACACATGGAACAACACCAGCCCCTCGGGCAACACATGGAACAACACCAACACCTCGGGCTCTATCTCATATCACAATGGGTACCCGCACTCACTGGGGGTGTGCAGACTCCTGGAGGGGTCTCTTACGGCCCAAGCACAATATCAATCCATCTCGTGGCATAATTGCCACACCTCCTTTTTGCGCGCCCGCCCCGAAGAGTTGAATGCGCGAGGGAGTTTTTCCAATTTAAGTGACAATATTCGAAATGGGATTATTTATTTAATTCAGAGTCGCCACTTGGGAAAGGTTTGGCTTTTGGTGTCCNGTTTATCTTGAATCCCAAATCGAGGAAAATATTCGACTTTCCAAATGAAGTCTGCGAACCAGAAATTCTAAGTAAGGAATTCTGTTGACCCGAGGGAAGGTGTTAGGCACCCTCGAATCCCGTGGTTCTAGCACGGTCGCTTGAATTGTTATAATGGCTAGATATCTGATTTAATACATGTTATTACTTTATGTGCTTTAATTAAGTTTAAAACCGCTTTTATTATTATTTATTTTTTATGGAATTGCAACGTCGTGAAAATG